CTTAGTAGTCAACATCTGCAATTTAAGATTCTTAACAGTTTTGGTACCTTCGTGTGTGATTTCTAATATATCCCAAACTTCTTTAGCAGTTTCACACATCGACACTGGCCTAAACTCTTCAGCATAAACAACCATGAACAGATCATGTAATGCTTTACTGTTCCGGTTGTATTCATCTAGGTTAATTTTAGGACTGAACAAATTGGGAAAAACTTTAGGCACTTTGTCAGGCAATCCACTATAAACAATTCAAACAACTTACACTCTATCATATTAGATAACCTGTACTATCTGATCTCTTGATTGTACTCATTACAGCTCTCCCTAGATCTTGTGCTCCCCTATACCAATCCTTAGCTGATGTTGTCAAAACTCTCCGTGGAATGTGCTACTCTACAGAACTCCTAGCCTTGTAGAATAGTCTATTTCCCGTGGATCAACGAAGAACGTCGCGTTCTTCACATACTGGAACTCCAGTCAAACTCTATCGATCTTCAGAACTCCGACCAGATGTAGAGGAAAGGAGAATTGATATTTGGATTATACAAACGATGTTTTTCTCACCAAAACATTCAAAGTAGATGAAGGTTGAAAGATGGAATTGATTGAATCTCTCACGGATGTAGCTCTCTCAATGTTCAACCTCACCGATTTTCGTACAGAAGTGTTTTGATATATATAGGAAGGTTAGAAAAACGAATGGACCGGGTAAAAAGGATTTAAGTCGTGAAATAAAATTTTCTCGGATAAACACTTCACTCGAGAGAAGGCTCAGCGAAGGTCAAGCGATAGTCTATCGCTCGAGCGAAGAAGGGACAACAGTTCAGCGACAATATTTCTGTTTTTATAGCTCGAGCTAGTGGTGGTAACGGGCCGAGCCGGCATGCCCACACGAGCTCCCATGAGCCGAGCTTAAGCTTCATTCGTTGTAACGAGCCACTCGGCTCGTCGGCTAGTCTTTTTTTATTTTTTACTGCACTACTAAACTAAACCTGAAATTCCAAAAAAATATATATACACATTTTATAATTTTTTTTAAATATACATTTTCCAAAACATTTATAGTTTTTAAAATAATAAAAACAAAATTTTATTTTTTAAGCTTTGTTTTTTGTTTAATATAGCATAAAATGTTAAACAAAAAACAAAGCTTAAAAANAACGAAACTTCTCATGCAACTCCTTCTTTGTAGTTTGTTAAAAATATATATAAATATATAAATAAATAAATATATATATACACACACACACACACACACACACACACATTTTGTAAACAATTTTTTAAATATACATTTTTCAAAACATTTTTATTTTTATTATTATTTAAAAAAAAAAAAGATAAACTCTCCTCTTTTATCTGAGTTTGGAACCAGCTACTTCAATTTCGAGTATGCGGAGTTAAAAATTGTACATGAACAACTTGTTACGTGGTGAAATTAAATATCACGTACTTGATTACATGCAATTTTGTCATATTTATCTTGAATTCGATAATTAGCGTCATCCCAATCTTTCAGGCACATTAACGCTTCCAAAATATCTTCTTTTAGTCGACTTCTGATCTCAGAGAGAACCATCTTCCCTCTTCCCTGCACTAAAAGAAGACTCCGAAACTACAGTGCTAACCGG